GCTATGCAAACAATGGCATTCCCATCGGGAGAAACTTGGGGGTTTGTATTCTTCCTTGAGGACACTTTGACATGAGCCATATGTGCTTTTCTTTATTTAGTAATTTACATTGTTACAGAGAGAGAAGCAGAATGTGTCATAGTCTTATTCTCCTGTTGCCATCATACTTGGCAGTCATTGTGGGTATTGGCAAAAACATGATTCAATTATTAAAGCAAACACGTCATGTTAATAATCTTCCTTTTAAATGTAAATGGAAAAATGTCAAAGTATTCAAGGAGGTTTTAACCATTTGCTGCAAAATAGAACTGTTATTTCCTACAAAGTAAAGATGCATTGCATATCCTTAAAATGTGGGATGCAGAGTTCCAGCATTGTGAATTGTTTTGGTTTGTTTTCCCATTGAAAAGTCATTTTCTGTGTCAGTCTGCCTGGTGTTACAATTTATTCTACTGTATTCAAAACCATGAGTTGCATTGGGCGTACAGTTGAGGCTGCATACATTACAGGCTCAACTGAGAAAAGAAAAGAAAAATGTTCCCCTGCCCTGAAATAATTTACCTCCGTCTTGATGCGAAGCGACAGTTAAGTTATGGATGCGGGCAAACCAAATCCCACTGAGTCTCACTCTAATGTGTCATTAGTCAACTATGTTGTCCACACTACTTTACGGCAGAGCAGGAAACAAGCAAACCAGATCCATGCATGGACATTCAACAAGTTGCTTAACAGAGACATATTGAATGTTTTTTTTTTTTTGGAAAAATCTTAAAATAGAGAATTAAACAAACGGGAACAATTACGCAGCATTAAAAAGTTTATTTAAGAAGTAATTTGTCTGGTTGATTACCTGTGATTAAAAAAGCATGCCTTTATTTGAACTTGTCTTGATGTTTAAATTTTCTTGTGCAAAGGTGTAAATAGTACCAAAGGTCTGTATACACATGGATTTGATTCATGGATCTGTACAAAGTGAAAGATTTACGTGGTTATACCTAGAGGGTAATATTTCTAGACAAAGACAAAACACTCTTTCTTCTTTAAATCCTTTTTTCCCCCTGCTGAGGTTCCTTAGAAGTCTCACAGCAACAAGTGCAACACGATAAATTAGAATGAGTGTGACTGATGAGAGTTTCTGGTCGGGTGTGTTTGACTTGTAGGGGTGTGTTATTCACCAGAGTGAGGTGTTACTGGATATGGGCTCCTGCAGCTGGCGTGCATCACACTCAAAAGGATTTCTTCTGAGTCTTTCTGTTCGTGTTTTTATCTCTTTTGACTCTTTCTTCACAGTTCTAGACATTAAATGAAGAGATTTGGGACAGGGTGGTCCCCTTCTATCCACGTGGGATGTATTGTCTGCAGATGGGAGAGGCCTGGGTTGGATTGGTTTGATTTGCTTTTGTATTAACCGCTGCTACGCCGGATTGTTTCCACACATGATCTGGAGCTGTTATTTCTCACCCTGCAGAGACCTGTATGAATACAGCGGTTAAACATAATATAGGATAAAGATCTTGTCAGAAATACCCTCAAGATTCTGGTTGTTTCTGCAGCTGTTGGTACATGCCATGTTTTATTCTGGAGTGTCTTGTATATTTATTTGTCTGCTTGTTTTAGCATCGCAATAAGAAGTTCAAACATTTGGAATGCATTGAAAACCTTCAGAGACCCACTTCTTCCTCCATTCTGTGGAAATCCAAAAATATCCTCCTGCAGGACGTCAGCCCACATTGTGTGCAGATGAGGCAGCTGCAGTCCAAGATGTGTCAGTACAGATGTTAGTCAGTGTCTTAGCATTCATTTTGATTTTGCTCAAACCTGTGCTGGTTGTACCGGAGATGTGTGATTTAGATGGGGGACAAATAATGTTTTATGTTTGAGACAACTAGAACCACATTTCCCATGAATCTTGCTGCTTCCTGTCTTAGGGGATACGACCATATTCTTCCTCCTGACATTGTCACTCCAGACAAGATAGAATAACATCCCATCTGATCTCTAAGTGCGTTATAGATAGAACAAGAATTTGAAAACCTGCAGTTGTAATATGTGAACTGGAATAAGCATGGAAAGCATTAACTGTCTTTTGAGTAGCAAAGATGGCAAATGAAAAGTGTGTAGTATGCTTCAAAGAATGGCGCAATGAAAGCAAGAAGTTAAAATGAACAAAAATGTGCCAACACGTATAAAAGTGTCTACAGAAAAGCTTGTATATGACCAAAGCAATGCCCCAATAGCAAAGCAATACCAGAGGAGGTATATTTGGCTTGGCTTTCATTTTTGTCCAAACATTTGTGATAAATTTGTGGAAATTTGTGGCTTTCTTTGTGACATAATACCATTCCAAAAGTATTTGTGCGACTGCCACCACTGTTGTGAAACTTTGGTTTGCTTTACACACAGAAAAGACTTGATCAAAGTTGTACTTGGCAAGAGTCTTTCGAAACAATTGGACATTAAAGTTCCTTTGAGGAGTTTTAACTGGTTATGAAACAGAGTGAAATAAATACTGAAACCGTTATATGACCTACTCAAGCAAACATGACCATCAAGAAGACTAATCATTTCTATATGTTAAATATTATTAACTGCAGGTAGGTGTAGGACGAGGCAATGTAGCTCACTGCAGAAACAGCCAAGATTCTCAATAAGTGATATTTTTTTACTATTAAACGAAAGCTGTATGATATTTGTTGAAAATACTCAACACATGTATGGGACAAATTTAGAGGTACCACTTTGCCCACAGGGGCCCTAAAATCAGTGCAAACATAATGTTCCTCGCAGGAGCTTTAAATTTAGGAACGGATGTGTAAAGGTCAAACTCAGACAGACTTTGAAATAAATCTGGGTTTTCAATGAGCTGGACATTATTTAAATAATCAGTTTCTGAAAAATGAAATACAAAAACCTTTCGAAAACCAATGGAAACAATGGATAAGCATTTAAGTGAATAGTTTCTTTAAAGATGGCTTCCTTCCTTCCTGTAAAGATGACAGGTTGTAATTTGTCAGTGCTGTAAACCCTCTTGGCAAAATATCTGTTTGTTCATATAACTTTAAAAATGTATTAGGCTTTATGGCAAGCCTTTTAGGAAATGTATATATTGAATGAAACTTTGAATATATTGAACGAAGTCTGAATATATTGAATATATTCAAAGTTTCATTCCATATATTCAGACTTCATTCCATATATTCAAAGTTTCATTCAATATCTTAATTTCCTGAACGGCTTGCCATACACTTAATATAGCAACGATTGATTTAAATTGCAAACATTAGCCCAGACTATGTACAGCTGTAGGAAGTTGTTTTATGAGTTGAGTCAGTGACGTAGTCGCATTTGTGATTCATCACCCGAAGCATCTTTGACTATGTCTTTTGCTACTTCTAGAATGGGCATGTCTGTTTTCCTTTATCTGTAAAAGACTTCTTCTTTTTCCATTTCAGCTGACTTGCAGTCTTGATAAATCATGATAGAGGGAAACATGCAGTTTGATTAGTGTCTCTGTATCAGTGATCCCTGCTGATCAAATTCAAATTCTGTAGTCTGTGATCTGTCATCCCATGGAGAGGGAAAAGCTGTACAGAACCATGTCTTATTGCTTATTTTGGTTTTGCTTTTCAGAACCAAAGTGTCAAGAAGGCTGGTCTGTTCAAACTGAAGTACCGCTGTTATATGTTTTCTCCCCAGGACTGCAGACATTTGTACTGTATTTGGTGACTTCCTAACCCTGTGTCCGTGTAGGATTTATAGCTGAGGATTTATCTCTGACTCAGAGCAGGAACAAAACCCTTGAAAGTGATGGTAAGACTGCAGGGAACGACACTCTGGGTCCATGGGACAAACATATGGTCCTGCTTTTGACTGTGGTTTGGCTGCCTGTCTGCCACTTCATACTTTATGGTTTTACCATTTTATTTTCATTTGCTTGAGATCATTTTCACAAATGCTTTTGGGTGTTTGAAGGGAAAAAAACCTACGAACAACTTTTGTGGACTATTCCTCAGAGGATTCAGAGATCTTTATACAACCAACTTTTGGAATCATATAAATATAAATGCTTTTCCCGTTGAGTGCTAGCTAACAGGCTCACAAACTCACTTCTGGTTGTCACAATTCTAATCACAAAAGTTAATTAAATGATTGAGTTTCCATTAGGAAATATAGTTCCATATTGGCTTTCCAGCAAGTGTTAAATGAGAAGATTGATTGTAACTGTAATGTCCACATCCATGGTCGGTTAGCTTAGCTAGTTGAATGACTGGACACAGGAAGACAAAGCTTAAAGGGGTTCTTTCGAAGGGTAACTATAGATCACCATCAAAGTCATCTTTTTTGCTTATCCATGCAAAAAATAAGTGGTAACACTTGGAGGATGTGCAGGGATTATTAGCCAGATAATGAGAATTGACTCCAGGAAGACACTGCACTTTGCCCGGGGATATTCTGGTGCATAACACCACATGGAATGGAAAATGTGTTTTTACTCTTTTCTACTCTTTTTCGTTTTACCTGCCAAAAATGTGATCAGTAAAAAAGTGATCTGTAGGGATTTTGAAAAGATGCTATGCTGTGCTGTGCTATGCTATGCTACGCAGGCTAAGTAGCCACTGACTATAGCTTGAAGAATGTATTTCTTGCAGACACATGAGAGTATTTCCCTCATGTCAACCATGTTTTTTTATTCTAGTCTTAGTCTATGCTAAGGTTATGCTATGCTATGCTAAGATATGCTAAGTAGCTTCATATTTCTTGCTCAGAGTATTGATCCTTTTATCTTCTCAAGGACATATGGGCTGTGAACTTTTGTAGTTTGGGAAGACAAAGCTAACTTTTTTCACTTGTGTTTTATGCTATGCTTAGCTAAGAGGCCACTCTTTGAAGTTTCAAATTTCCTGAATAGATAATATCAGAGAGAATAAAGCCTCGTATTTTGTGCAGACATTAACACATCTTGACTTTGTTTAGTGTAAAAAAACAGAGTGGGACACATATTGCAATGTCATCTCGTTTATTGTATTATAGATGCTCATTTCATTTGCACACATTTTAATTTTTTTTGTACATTTATAATGTATTTTTGTATCTTGTATCAACTCTAAGAAATTCACATTAACACAATGCATTTAAAATTAGTAGGTAAGTACAGGTGACATTCAGCTTTTTTGGGGAGAAAGTCCTGATCTTTCTGTATCAAGTTTGTAATAATAAGACAGAGAATCACAGCGAACCTCCCCAAAGAATTCATATTACAGCACATTACATGTCCTGTCGCCTCTAAAATGGAGGCACGCGATGAGACCTACTGTACATGCAAAAACTCAGCACACCGCTGATTTCTATTACCTAATATGTGAGTTTCAGAGTAGCAGACATGTATGTTATTTGTTATGCTACATGGCCCTATCGGTTGCCGGTATTAATAGCGTGTACGCATACAGTATGTATTCATTGGCAACCTATTCGTACATGTAAGTCTTAATAATGGTGCCAAGTTTTTACAGTTTGCTTGAGTCTCCACAAAGAATGTATAACGTTTTTTTCTGTTTACCAAAAACCTTCATTAGCTCTTAAAAAAATAAAAGAAATGCACATAAAATCATAAAATAAGTGGAACATTTGCAAAAGAAATATAGTTCAATTTTCAAACACCTGACACTGTACACAGGCACTTGAACTGTGGTACACTCTTTGAGTGCATTAGTTGTACATCTAATAAGTGCTACAAAACAATATATCAGTTAGAAAAAATACTGAATCTAAAAGTGTAATACTATTCAAAATATAGACCAACAAGCAAATGTAAAGACGAAAACAATTTACAACAATAAATGAGGCCAAATTCAAATCTTAACCTTGAATGTGTCTTGCATATTTCTGTGTAGTTTCCGGTTGTACATTCTTACATTGTGTGTTTCACTCCACAAGCTGCTGTAGAAAGAAATGAAGTCAGATGAGGATGGATGAGTATGGTACCGGAGGGCTAATTGGACCTCGAGGGAAGGGGGGGTTCTACCACTCTAAATCAACAATCTGGTCACTCATACTGTAGCAGCGTTTGCTTTAATGCAAGAGCCACAGCCAGGATCAGAATGATTCATACCGGCTCTCTCAATAGAGGAGTGAATCATTCACTTTCAATGTGTGTGTGTCTGTGAATGTGTGTGTAGTCACATGTCCATACCACATGCCCACATCAACTTAGGAGCTGTAAGCAGAATACAGCAGTGTTTTATTCGTTTCCTTTCGTAGTGCTGCAGCCAAAAAGATGAATCACAGAGAGAGACCGGGAAGTTGAATTGTCTTGAGATGTTGGTGACAATGCCGCCCATCGATGCAGAATCACACAGTATGTAATGACTCATTCTGAACTCCAGCTCTGCTGACCAGTAAACACAATACATATTTCTCTTTTAAACTTAATAAGTCTTGTATTTACTTTTCAGAGTCAAACAGGAGTGTGCTTTCTTTGCAAGAATTACACAGAAAAATGAAACCACTTGTCCTGGGGTTAAATAGTCCAATCTGTAAAAACTCAACATATTTTGTTTGATTTCTTTTTTTTCTTTTAATTAATAAAACTGGCAAAGAAATGTCTCATTGTTGACAAGGCAGCTTTCATTTTACTGGTAGACTGATGTTATCTTAAGACAGATCAAGGCTTGCTAATTCTTTGGTTTCCCAGTCCTTATGTTTAGCTATAGGCTCAAAAGCTGCTGGCAAGAGCTTTATTCACAAACATAAGTTGGTACCAATCTTCTTCATAGATGTCATCCATTGTTCTGTCAGCTGGATTTTTGAAGCTTCAAGGTCAGCATTTTGGCCACCACCAAGTTGATTGTCTAAACCTAAAGTGGCTGTATTGGAGCTACAAAACGTACTTATCAAACTGTGCGTTCTGCGCCTGAATTCATAAGCTGCCAAAACCAATGTTGTTTTCTGACTTTTTTTATTATTTTTTTTAACCAGGCTGTTAAAATTTTTATTCTGCTTTTACGTTGGGCATTTTAACATGGGGCCCAACGAGGTTCAGTCCCTTTTGGATCGAGCCTCAAGTGACCACTAGAGGAACTGCAGTTTTTATAACCTGCCTCATTTGTTTTTTTCTCAGCCTGGAATTTGCTGCTTGATTTTCTCATGTAAGTGCTGGAAAGAAAATAAATTCCCTTAAAATTTCAAACCCATTCTGATTCATCAGTGCCTTAATCAATACAATCAAATACACACATTAAACTGCACCTTTTAACAGTTTTTTTACTCTACAGCTGCTTCATGTATGTACCTGTCTACCTGCCTAGTCTATTTAAACTTTACAGGATGTTTACAGAAATACTCTAATTTTTTTGTCAAATCACAAAAATTGGGACCCTGAGAAAGCACGTGCCCCTGTAGGAATGGATGCTAAAGCAGTGCAGTCAAGCGTAACTCCAATATGCTTCTATACAAGATATCTATGCTTTTATAGTTACTGCAAGTAGTAGGGGGTGAACATAAAAGACATTCTTTGTGATAAAAAAAAAAGTGTCACCCAGCTATACTTCTAAGTGCTTTTATACCACCATGGCGGTATATTAAATGTCACCGGCCTGAGGCTTGGAGAAGGGATCTGTAATGTCATGTTGCATCTTCAAATAGGGCCATGTCAGCCCTCTGTTGACCACAGCATTACCCCCGATGAGCTGTGTCTGAGCTGAGAAGAGCAAAGGGTAAAGAAGCTGAAACCCTGAGGTAATTACTACCTGCCTGTCGGGATGTCTCGCTAATGGGCCTTGTGTTGATGGATTCAGCGCGGCTGGTACATTAGCGCCTCAGGACTGTTTATCAGGCTCGATCAGAGCTGTGTGTAAGTGTAACAGTGAGTATGTAGAGGGCGGTGCTGTCGGTGAGAGGAGGATAGTGAAGAGTTTGCCTCTGAGGGGTGTCCCAATTTTCCTACTCAGCAAGTGTAAGGCATGACAGATGGGACTTTGGGCATATTTTTCCCCACCAAATTCATTAAAGCGTCTGTTTATGTAGCAGCTCTATACTGGGTCACCAATGACGTCACAGCTTGCATCTCAACCCATCACAGTGACTCAGCAGAGCTCCACAGCCCAGGAGATGTTTCTCTCATGTTGCCCATCCAGGCTCCATAGAGAGCCGAGGGAAGCACCCTGCTGAATCAGCCATGTAACTGAAGCCACAAAATGAAAATAATGCACCACCAACCGGAGCCGTGTTACATTATAAGCATGAAATTACTGAAATACAATCCCTGGAGCCACTGTGAAGAGGTCTATTTCAGCCAAGGGAAAGAGAAAGTGCAGGAAAAAGAGAAAAAATAGTTGATTACCAAGAGGGCTACGCAGCAATTGACCTTTCTTCCCAGATATGAGTCACTTGCATCAGCCTGAGCTGCCAATCTCAAACATTGACGCAAACACTCTTCGAGACAACATGCCATGAAATGTGTCCGTTAAATAATGAAAAAGAACAAGAAACTACAGGAGAAGTTGGGGTTGACTCACGCCTCCCCCGCTACTTTTTGTATCGCAGACAATGGGGGGGGGGGGGGGGGATCTAATGGATAGGATCCTTTGGATGGAGATGAGGGATTAACTGAGAGTGGGACACCACAGAGGAAGAGAGAAAATTATTTTTGATGCACATAGGAAAGAAAGGGGAGATCATAAAGAACCTGTCTGCCTATTTCCATTTCAGGCACATTCGTTTCATGGCTAGTGATCATGGAAGTAGAGGGGAAATGGCAGGATTAGGCAGGGTTTGGGGATGCTAAATTGGCAGTTGGTGGGAATATTAGATACTGTCATTTAATACGAGATGCACTGGCATTTTGTATGATTATGTATGTGCAGTGACATTGGTACAGATTGATATTGCCGTACAGTTTGTGTCCAGGCACACTGATGGGTAGATTTGGACTCTGTATGCAGGGATGAAGAGTCAGACTGTGGTCCAAAGGTGCTGGGAGGCTTTCAAAGTCAAAAGATTTTCTCTGTGGCCACTTCAGATGTGAACTGGAGATCAGTTTTACATTCCCATGTGCCCCTCCCCCCCCCTGCTTTTGTTTTTTTGGTCCACTGTCAAGTCCCAACTCTCCTCTCCCTGTGTTCAGCTCTGATGTCTCCTCTTCTTTCTCCTCAGACTTCAGGGGGTGGCGTGTCAGGCTGGGGGCCACCATCGACCCTCACCACTGCAGAGAGAATGAGGAAAAAGAAATATGTCAGGTTGTCTGGAAGAAGACAGGTGATTTTCTGTGATATTTAAATCAGTAAAGGGTGATTTTTTTTTTTAACTTGAACCTTTTGCATATTCTCACTTTTTCTCACTGAAGAAGACCAAAATTAAAATGATTAATTTACTATATGTTTCAACCAAGCTTCCTTTTCCAGCAAATACCAATATACTTTAAGTATAGTAAAAACAGGAATGATCATGCTTTTCCCTGCAGGGGGCCCTGTGGTGTCACTCACTCATCCAAACCTGTTAAACTGGAGTCATTAGCCGGATGAGGATGGGAGAGAAACTCTCTTTTCCCACAAACCTCTTAACCTGTTGTCAATTGAGAGAATCCATGGAAACGCTGGGGGAATGCAAAGGCGTTTCTGAGAGGACCCCCTTGCCTAGTGGGTGTATTCTTGCCTTTATACATGCATCTTGTGCCAGAAGAGTGTAGTACAAGAGAGTTATTTTAAAGCTTTAGAAAGGAGGATTCTTTTGTCGGCTCACGTCATACCCTTCCTCTGTTTCCATTAGTTTCCTGTTCCAAAAAAACACTTTAACTCCCACATTTTTTTTCTGCTCTAAAATACTCTTAGTTTGCTATTCCCTGACACTCGGCTTAGTATTTCTTTCCTCATTGAGTCTATCCAGTGAAGGCCATAGTCCCTAGTGCTCTTCTCCCTTCCCTCCTGTTTAATCTGACACTCTGCAGGCATCACCAGTGAAAAAGAGCAGAGAGACACTGATGCTGGCCAGTGCAAAGCCATCTGCATCGTACAAATGTGCAGTCATATGCACAATGATTTGCACCTTTGTTTCCACCTCCAGTGCAGCTGTTTCCATTCGCTTGCATTGTACCCCATTCTTAAGGAAGCATGAATAATAATGGCCACATGGCTATCGAGTGTTTTATAGAGTCCAACCTCATCTGAAAAATCACTACAAGCTGTCGCTCACTGAACCAGTTCAATTCTCTGTAATGTGAACTCCCAATCTTTGCAGAGCTTTCTTACAGCTTCCTCTTTCTTCTTCTCTCTTTTTAATTCACCTTCAGGCAATCCTGATTGGACCCTAAGCCATGATAAATCTTTCTAAAAGGCTGATTGTGGTTTGAAACTAAAATTATATGTCTACAGTTGGAGAGTCTATCCATCCAAAAAAAAAAAAAAGTTGTATCACCATTAAACGAATGAAGTGAAATCCCAAGGGCTAATGTCGTTGTGTTATAACAATTGTGTTGTGGCATCTTATACAGTCCTGCTTATATGCGAGGAAGACATCAAATTATAAGTCATCTATCCAACATTACTGAAACTTCATTTGTGATTCATTATGTGACTGGGCTATGTTATTACTGTAACTTGCTGCTGGATAATGTTACACACTGGGAAATACTATTGAGCTCCTGTAGATCCCTCAGGCTTTAGACCAGAATCAAGAGTACTCACTAAGCAGAAACCCCTCGATAGTTGATTGTAGTCTTTTAATAAGGACATCCTCCCTCAGGGTTTTCAACTAGGCTTATTTTTAGCATCACTTCACTGTGGCTTTTAGAAAAAAATCTCCTGATTTTACATGAAAATCAACTCTTAGTATGTATATTCAGGACTCTACTTCAGCTGCTGATCTTTTTTTCAGTAGATTTTTTCGCCTTGACTCCAGATTGTGTTGACTGTGAGGTCAAACACAGGGCAGGGATGCAGGGATGGGTGCTGGTGAGAGAGGGGTTTAGAGTTTTGTTAAAATTTTAAACTCATTCAATATGCACGATTCAGAGGGGGGAGCAAGTGGCAAAAGAGGGTTTTAGGGGAGGGGGGGGCAGAGCGGAGCTTCACAGATAGAGCGTGCTTTTTAATGGAGATGAGCAGACAGAAATGAGGTCGAGCGCCCTTTATGTCGAAACTCCTACCCTGCAGCAGTGACTCATGCAGGGAATACCCTCTCTGAGTGTTGTCAGTCAAAACACGAGACATTTTCACTGCTCTGTTTCTCTTTTTAAAGGCTTATTTGACTTGTTTTCACTGGAGGTGTTCCCATTATTTCAGTCGCCAGTAAAATATGGTTCGTTGGAAACAGGAAACCCCCTGCGATTACAGAGGATTTATGGCGCATATTCTCACCCTCTCGCGTATTTTAACACTCCAAGTTTGAAGTCAAGAGCATTCGCTGCCTTTTTAATGGCTTCCACACCCGCACACAGTGCTAATGCCAATTAGCACATCCTAAATACTGACACTGGATCAGATTTTGAAATGCAGCGAGACCAGGCCTGGATGCTGTCTCATAACACCTTCTAATGAGCCAATCAGTTAAAAAGACATCAGGGTTACTGGGGCAGTCATCCTCTCTTTGAACTGATCCAAAGCTGTTCCTCAAAAAGAAATTCCTTCTTTTCTTCGACAGGCAGCGGGGACTGCATTTGTTGAGAAGAATGGTCTAAAAAAACACAAATACAAAGTAAGCTTTTCCCAAGCCTCATTAGAATGTAATGGGTATCCCAGAAAAGACGCAGTGGTGGGTATTGTTCAAGGGGGGATTTATCAGCTGTTTGGCTTTTAAGCACATTGTTATCCTTGTAAAACCATTTTTAGGATTTGCTATAATTCACAATGAAACTAGGAAAATATATGGGATACTCAGACACAAAGTCTTGGGAGAGGCATGAATGTCTGAATGAATAACAAGATCACGACTGAACTTGAGACTTCTTCTTCAAGTAAAAAGCCTCTCAGCTTTATGAGTATAGATCGAGTGAGAATCAAGGTTTCATCTCTTTAATGTAAGTGCTATTTGAGTATTAAAGGAAGGTGCACTGCTTTACAGGGGTCACATTTCATTCCTGCAGCACTTGCTTTTATTCTCCAAGCTGTTTAAAGGTTATCCTCTTTTTTTGTAGCCATTCTCTGCAGATTCCCCACCATGGATAGAGCATCATTGTCTGTGCTCAGTGTTGCAAAAAGATTGAAAGGAAGTGATATATGATACGGATGGATTTGACCAGCAGGTCTTTTTTTTTAAATATCAAGGGCACAGGAGATGACATAAAGGAGGATACGTCTCAAAAAATGATGGTTTAAACTTCTTCATGTTCATGTTGAAGTTGCTGCAGTTTGAAGGGCCATGCTGCTGATATATCATTTTTTTTCTCGTAAACTCTGTATCACATGAGAAAATAAATCCAACGAAGCAAGTAAAGATTTTTGATTTGGTCTACTCATGGGATTTGTTGACTATTTGAAAAAATATATTGTAATAAAAATATATGCCTGAATAAAAGAGGTTGCTCGTTTACTTAAAGGAAAAAAAAACTAAACAGGGGTTCTCTCTCTTAATGCACTGCATTAAAAGAAGTGAATTAAGCCTGATGTAAATTGCTTTATAATAGATCATAATATTGGTTTTATCCCATCAAGCCAGACCTGATCTTCTGAGTTAATCCTGCAAAACCTTTTCAATTTTGTCTGGCTTGCCAGACTAAGATACTGTTAGGCAAAGTCAGTCATATACCAGAAATACTTCACGAGTCAGCGGGACAAACATAGGTAAAGAAGACTAGTAAGACAAGTAAAGATAAGGATCAAACATATGCAGTTACATATCTCCCTTATACATGCAGTTTATATATGTAACGTAAGCTTAGATAGAAAGTGTGTCAAATGACTGACTGTCAGCACTGAATATTTGAGCGTCAAAACTAGTGATAAGGAGGCATACAGACAAACACACTGTGAGAATTCAAGCAAAATCTGTTTAGTGTTCAGTACCTGTCTCACGTTCATGTCACTGTAGGGCCTCACAGTACTAATCTCGACATTCCTGGAGTACAACAAATCATAGTGAGTTTCATCTCACCTACAGATTCTGCATTTGGCATACTCGTCTTACTCCGAGGTGATAAATAGTTTTTGATCTCAATCCACAGAAATGTGGGTTTGCTGTGGAGGGAACCGCTTGCACAAAGTTGGGAAACCATCACATATTGTTCTCAAAGTCTGGGCATTGGGTCTTGAAGTGATCAATAATGATTTTCTGTGGCAGCTGCAATACAACGGTGTGGAGGAGGAATGTACTTGTGCTTGGATGAGTGCCTTCAATCTTATAAGAGTTTCTGAGAAAAGTATTAGTAAGTTAGTAACAACGACTAGGTGCCCAATTAGTGGACTTGGAAGATTAGTATTTTATTGCATTAGGTTTTCCGTGGATAGCTAAACAACGTGACAAACATACGCAGGAAAACCCAACAGAAAACTTCAATAAAGTTGGGAGTGAGTTTAAGGCTTACCTATCTGTTCCTGTGTGTGAGAGCGTGCAGGTTGAGCCTGGACTTCGGCCTGGGCCTGCTGCTGCTGTTGATGCTCCTGCAGACTCTGACTGTCGACTGAGATGCCGCTGTCGCTGTGCAGCTTCTCTCCCTCCGGCGTCACCATCTGGTTGTTCGTAGCCGCGCGGTTATTAGCTGCCTGCTTGTTCTGCTTGCAGCTGTTCCACCTGTAAAGATGGAAGGTGATGTGGCATGTTAGAGGTAGAAACAATCCAATAAATGAATTCATTGGATGTGGAAAGCCTACGCTCGGCTTTCGCCAGCCATCATTAGCGGCAATAGCGTCACATGTAGCGTCACCCTTACATCCAAAAGGAAAACACGTTGTTTGAAAATATGAACAAATATGTGGGTCCAACTTTTTTTTATAACTTGGGATGCTTAGCTTTTGGCTGGGAGTTTAGTGTAAGACTGTGTAGTTTGCCAATAGGATTTGAGCAACTTTTACAAGTTTTTTCACTTAGTTGGAGACATTACAGCATGTTGTAACTTGTGGAGTTATGATAGATAAAGTTACAGCTACCTAAATTAGCTTTAATTCAAGTACAAGTTAGAGTTGCATCTTGCATGTGAAATCAATCTCTTTTAACCAAAACGTACTGTAAGCCATAAAGATATTCCATGCCCTTTCAATTATTGTTTAATTCAGTGTTTTATACTGTACTTACTTAATGAGCTATCTGACTGACGTAACATTTAGCCCAAAGCTACATATCATTTGCAAATGAGTGTGTCATTTAAGCAGCAAAATCAACACTCACCAGCTCAGAATTCTGAAACTCATGTTTTGTTTATGTTTTCATCAAAAACTCTTATTTCATAATTTGCTTTAATGTTTTCACTTGTGTTTTTATGTTTTCAATTATGTTCCATCTGGGACCTGTTCTTTAAGAATTTACTAGAAGTAAAAAAAAATTAAATCATCATTTTAAACTGAATGTGCTGCCTAAGATAGAGAAATGTAATAAAGTATGCTCGTAAAATGTTGCTGCTCTTAAGAAGATAAAAGACTCATGAATAAATTAATAAAATATTCTAGAGTTATTGAATGGTAAAGCAGAGTATACAACCCTAAGTACCACTAATTAATAAATATATTTTACAGTCTGTATGTGCCTGGTAATAAGTAAATCAAGAGCAGCCAGATGTGTGCGTGACTCTGCTGACTCATCTTGCACTTGAATTTGCCCTACTTGGCACTTTTTAAACAATCAGCTCTGCAACTAATGAGGTTGTTTACTTGCTTCATGTCTTTTAGCCCAGCCTTGTATCTGTCTGGAGTGCTTTCTTGTCTGGTTGTATATCTTTGTGTTTGTGTGAGCTCTGTAATGCATTATGGTTTTTTTCTTTAAAAAACACAAATTGTGGTCCATTCGGATGAGTACATTTTCTAGATCTGGGTCAAATCCTCTTTGAAAGGCCTGAATATACCACCAACCACCTTACAACCATTATTTTTTGCCTCGGGAAACATCTATCCAACACCACCATCTCCATCACCATCACTGTTCACGCTCTTTGCCCTAGATTGTATTGTGATAGAGGTGCAAAACCCAATTGTGCTAATGTCTTTAACCACAAAGCAGCTTTTCTTCTTGTTGTTTTCTACAAACTGACCTCTTAAAAACAATGTAGGCCACTAGGCCCACCAGGCCCACCACCACAGCAGCCACGATGGAGCAGTAGATGGGGATGAGGTTTTCGTTGAGCCCGTGGCCGAGGAAGCGAGGAGAGCCAGCGCTGGAGGTGGTTGTCTCTGCTCCTGGAATCGGACTGTCAGAGCCAGGGAGGAAGTAATTGGTAAATGAGGGTGGAGATGGGTCCATGTCTGTCGGAGCGAAATATGTGGGAAGTAGAGGATCTGTATAGGAAGGAAATGAAGAGAGCATTTGTGAGAAAAGAAACACACCAATATGAGTAAGAAAGAAAGTAGACAACAATGCCAGCAGCTCTGTGAGGCTGTACTTCTTTCCAGTGATGCGCTAATATTCTAACATGACAAAGGTAACAATCTGCTGTTCTGTGTTTTTAGACGTTCTCCACTACAAGTAACCTCATACATTTTACTTTCTAACCCAAAAAAATCTTTATAAATTTCTCCAAGACAATCACATGTTCTTACTGAGCCTAACCAAGAAATCACCATCCACACAAAAACAGGTACTTCCAAAATTGTGCTCGTAAATACATGTCTACTTTTCCCCAACTGGCTGCTGCCTAGTATATTCTTTTTTATTTTTTAGTTTGATGTGTAAGCATGCTGAAATTGAGTTTTTATCAATTATTTAGGTCAAACCAAAGTATTTAACAATAGATATTAAGACATAAAAAAAGAGGAATTGTGTTTAAGGATCTCAAAAATAATTTAAATGTAGCACAATTCATCAAAAGACTTTGGGACATTCAGTTTAAAATGACACCATAAACAAACATGAATGTCAGGCGATCAGTACAGTTCTTACTGAGGAACATATCTACCAAACTTTAATCCACCAAGAGATATTGGTGGAGGTTGTTGAGATATTTCGGTCCAGAGTAGAGCGACAGATCAAATGTGACATCTAAAGAGCCGCTAGCATGACTGAAAAGGAAGACATGATATCTAATCTCTGAGAGCTTGTTTGGCTGAAAGTGTAGTCACCAAGTCCCCAACCAGATGTCAGATACACTGCACACATGCAGCAGCTGTTTCTGATTGGCAGATGGTTTCTGCCTGAGTTGCTGTGTACAGAATGAAAAAGAATGTTCCTCAACAAGGGGGAAAATAGCTGTCGACCCACCAGCCCCCCGCACCAGCCCTGAGCCCTGCACGCCAGGTCTCTTCTCACAAGGTCCACATCTATCTGATCTCTGCACATTGCATGACATTAAGGCCATATGGATCCATGTAGAACAAAGTCCAGGGCTTTAGGGAGGTCATCACTTTTGAGTATAGCCTTTGCTGAGGCCAGAGAGGCAGGAAGGCTCTGTGCTACTGGAAGGGCCTGGTTTCTCTCATAGCAATGCCTGGAAATAAGACTCATTTTCTTAAATTGTCTTATTTCCGTTTTGTTTGAAGGCTCTATTAATGAGTCAGAAGCAGCAGCGCCATGCCCACTCTGATGGACATGACTTGTCCTGAAACCCAGTTTATCCATCAAATCTTTCCAGGAGTCCTGACATACTAAGCATCTGTTTGGAAAAGCCCCATAAGAAACATTGCTGTGATTCTGTCAGATGATAGAAAAGCTCAGAGAGTTGTCTGTAGATTATTTCTCCCCTAAGGGGACAGTACAGCAGGCCTTTCCAGCCAAAAGTAAAACTCTTCTAAACTCACAGCCTGGTAGGGGTGGAGAGTACAAGCTCTGGTTCAGACTTGAGCCTTTTATTCCCTTCAGGACCTCAGGCTGCTCCTCATTAGTGCCATACTTGCGCTCACAGGATTAACCCTGTGAAGACCCTTGGGCTTCCTTCAAGGCCAAAGAAATGGACATTCCATCCCAAATACTTCAAGGGTTGTCCTACTTTCAAAGTCCTCTGTTTTTTAGGGGTATTAACTAAATTAATGAGTACGATGGACAATCACAATATGGTGAATGCAGCAATCAGAAATCAGATTACTAACTGTTTGCTACTATGGATTTCACTTTTTATTGCTGACACAGCATATTCACTACGCCTTCAATAGGCTATACTCACTGAACAAGCCATGCACTAAATATATTAAACTATAGCCGATTGTTCCCTACTTCATGTTTTCTCCCCTGACTTCAATGACATCATTACTACAGGGTTTGTCAAATTCATCTCTTACGTCACTCAAGGTGAATACAATTTCATTTGTGCTACTCGCGGCATTGAGAAATTAGATTTTAATAATTCAAGAACAGTGTGTCTTTCCAGAAATAATATCCTGGTTACTCTGGATAATCCACAGACTGCACTGCCTGTCAAACGTCTTTTAGTGCAAGTACTCTAATGTGGAAAAAGGTTTTAAAAAAACAGTTGACACTGTACTTTAATGTATTGGTTATTTTCCCCTAAGCAACAATTTATTTTGGGGCCAGCATAAAACAAAAATACATATATTTCCAAATCTGCAAATTAAAAAACCTGTTTCCAACCACAAAATTGTAATCATCTTTGCTTTAATTGGCTGTTGTCCAATTTTTGTTTTTGGATTATGTCAATATTTCTGCCATTACTTAACAATGCCTTTATTGACTATGAACTTTAATACTAAACAGACAGTCCCATTGTCATTTGTCCAACCAAAAACAGAGCGTTTTTCTTTAAATGAAGGATTTTGGGGTACAAAACTGATTGGTAGGACTGTGATGTATGTCCAGAAGAAGAAAACACAAACCCAGTGGACCATCACAGTCAAGGCTTTCTACACATGTATTCCCTTTTCACTGACATGGCAGATAGTCACGTTTCCCAGAATTGATTTGTTGCATAATTTAGACACGCTATGATAGTCCAATGGGACCTTGATGGGTAACTTATGTGGACATATTAGATAAAAGTTCTGTTGGCCGATTGGAGTCCACTTGGTCTGCATGTCTGTAAGCCGATGACGGGGCAATCCTAACCCCTGGGGTTTAGGGGCGATTGGTTTACTGAAATGATAGAGAATATCTTTCATGGATAGAAAAACACAGCACATGTGCGAGCCATACTTAGAAACACCGAAATAATGCAGAGGTCTATTTCAGGCGGTGCTATTGATTCAGATCTGTCTAAAAGGAAGGGAGCGGTCAGAGGAGTGGAACACGGGTGTCTGTATTACATGCATTTCTTGACCTTTCCTGGGATGTAGTCAGGTTTCCTTAGCTCAGCCATACATCATCCAGCAAAAGCAGTGTTGGCTAATAGTGTTAGCGATGCAACTCGAGCTAGCAAATATAATAAATTGTGCATCAGAGGTGTGGAACTGAAAGTGTGCAGATAGTCAGCCTTGAATCTTTCACAGCCTTTTGTGCATTACTAAAGTCTCTTTCTTTTGTGCAAATATATACATTCACCTTAGGTCTTGATTTACATTGTTACTTTAATTCTGATCCAAGATGACAGCTGTGCAAGAGAAAGCTTCACATCAAGTCACTTTATATCCACACAGAGAGCAGCTAAAGCTTGAGTATACTTTACTTTTATATATCTTTACTTTCACTCCCCCTCTTCTCCTCCATTTCTCTGTGCTGATGCAGAAAACACGACTGGCTGCAGACCAAAGGATAAACCTTTGGGCTCCAGAGGCTGCATACCTCAGTTGCAAACAGAATGAGAGCTTAGAGGCAACAGTGGAGCTTTAACAATTTCATTTTTCATTCAGTGGTTTTAAAACACTCGTGAAACAAAATAAAACTAGCCCGGGATTTTACAAGCGTGGGGCTGTGTATGCAGGGGAGATGTGTTTATTAGCCGTGTGTGGACTGAAAGGAGGGGGTGGGGACTTAATTTTTATGAGCCATTGAGGTCTTTATGGTGAAGTTAACCCCAGGGTCTTGTGCAGAGGTTGATGTCTTGGCGGCTGCCATTTAAGGGTGGAGATGAGCAACTATCAGGCGCAGTGCATGTACAATGACCTCTTTATCAGCTGCCAAACACTCTCCCTCTGTCCCTGCTCAGCCTCTATCTCAATCTTCCTCTGTGTTTATCGCCTGACGCGCACACATCCATCAAACACACACGTACAAATTATTCAAGTGAGCGCTCTGTCTTCAGTTCGGGAGGGTTAATAGGAAGAGCGGGAAGAAGTAGGGGAGGGGGGACGGACAGAGAGGCAGAGTGTTAGGAGAGAGTGAGGAGGGGTACAGATGAACAGAGAAGCTGCTGTAAAGTGCTCTGATTAGCGGGAGTAATTATACTGCAGCGGTGAAGGCGCTGAATGCACACTGGCCACCTTCCACCACTCTGTCGCCCAGCCACTCCAGGGCCACTGTGGGAAGATATAGAGGGAGCAAATGATGAGAGGAAGGAAGGGGAAGGGGGAGAGAGGTTGATGAGCGGCGCAATGAGGAGAAGGGAGTCGGCCTGTATCTGCTTTTTTAATCTTCCCCTCTCTTGTTCCCGAGGACAAACACTCAAACAGACGCTCAACACTTCACGTTAAATGCGAATCATCTCAACCTGAGCCTGAACAGCACCTTTTTGTAAAGCTCTCGCGAGTCCGAGCAGACCGAGACCTTCAATTAAAGATGCAGGAGGTGTTTTCAATTTCACATCAAAGCATTTCACATGTGTGGTGTCCGGACGTTAATGAAAAACGTTGAAGCTAAAGCACACTTGGCAGGGTGAGAGAGCGTGCATGTGCTATCAGCTGTATTGATTTTGGATGCCCATAAAGGGTGTTTGTGTGCTGGCTCTAGAAGACTTGGCTTTTCAGAGTGTCTGTGTGTGTGTCCTGCAGTTGAGTGTGGGTGCTCATAGAGGTCACTCAGCGAAACCTGAGCATGAGCAGAAGAAATCCCAGGACTCATATCGACCCATCGGCATAGAATACCAGCACAGCACATATGCTGCAGCTCTCTCTCTCTCTCTCTCTCTTTTCTGTTTTCATGATTTTTTCTCTCCCTCACTTTCTTTCCGTCTCTGTCATTGTTTCATGTAATTGACACTTGGTGACAGCTGGCTATGAGGTGGGGATTTTGGGATTTGAAAATAACTTAATCGTATATTTTCTCATCATGTGCAGAGGGGAAGAAAGGACAGGGGGATAGGATTAAAAAATGATTTTCCTCACATAAAAGATGCACAAACAGGATGAGAATTCCAGCGAGACAGCTTCCTATTTGCTGCTAAACACGTATCTGTATGCAAAGCCAGCAAAGACCACCATGGAGGGCCTGGAACCATCATCACCACCACATGTGACCATTACCCACAGGCCCAATGGTGCTAGACGACAGGGCTACCCATTCAAATGGATTTCCCCAGTGCGCACTTATCGTGCCATATGTAGTCATAGTCATCGCTGCTGCTACAACCGTATTGGTCAGGACAAGGAGGGTCAAAGGTGAGACCAGCTGCATGGGTGGGCGTTAAATGGGCAGCAAAAGAGGGTATTGTGGCCTACTGTACATCAGATAAGTCTGGAAAACTGTGGATATTCTGGGTGTTTAAGGGGGCATAGGGAGCAATTTTATTTTTCATGGCTGCCAGTCTGGTCATGAACCTCATTGGTGCTTCTGAATGGACTTTGCTTTATCACTGCCAAGGACCGCAGTCTTGGTTATGTCTATGTGGACTTTTGAGTTTGATGAAACCAAGAGGCAGAGTTTGCAAAAATCAGGGAAACTCTCATCTGTAAAATTTCGCAAACTGGTGCCTGCTAATATGCTACCAGTATCACGAGATTCTAAAGAGCTTCCAACTTCAGACTTAATGCAAAATTAAACTGAATGATTGATCAGTGATGATTGTTTTTCTATTTTCTTGATGTTTTTTATCTGTATATGGTACAAACAAATGTCATTAAGCGGAGCATGGGCCATTTGTACATTGACCTGTGCAAACATTTGTTCATGGTCTCATTTTTTTTTACGTGGAATTGTGATTGGTAAGCAATCATTGCCTCAGAGTTTGCCTTTGGGACATTTGTCAGCAGTATTTTAGAAAATGTTCAGTGTAAGTTTGAATTATTTATTTATTAGGCAAAATCAATATCTTTTCCATGCAATGCAACTGACTTTGACTTACATGAATTTTTAGCTAAGCTTAACACTTCTAGGTTAGCTTCAAATAATTATCATGGTTTGGGTAAAAATATTTGGTAAAATCTGCATTTAGAGACTAGACAGAACTCTATTGGAGAAAAAAATGAATATGCTTGTAGTGACAACATAACATGCTGATCTGAAGCAGGTTACCATGTTATTCATCTGCGTTGATAGAGTTAACATGCTAACGCTGGCTAACTGGCACACAAGTTGGGATCACTACAGTTATGAACATTCATACCGAGGTTCATATGTATTCTTGAAGCCATCCAACAGTGGTTGAAAAATTTCAGTGTGGGCAAAAAATACATTTTCATCATTGGAGCCAAGCTTCTGGCATGGAGAGAAAAGCAGGGGCCAATATTTCAAAGGTCTTGTCGGTGTTAAAATTACTATGGTGATTTTATTGGTGACAATCTAAATGTTGCACCTTTGATGGTGCTTATGGAAGAACATGTTGAAAGTCATCTTCTATATTATTAGCACTTCCTCAACCTCATCTACCTTTCCCACTCTTGTCTCTCCCCAGTTAATTTCTCCTACGCTCTGTGCTCTTACAGTCTATTAAAAGAGGCATTTATACCCTCCATGTGGCGCTACCACAGCCACTGTACTATAACAGGGTGTTGACAGATTCTAATGGTTCATTAACTAGGCAAATCCAAATACTTGCCAGTAAGAAAAAAGATAGCTCAAGTCCAAACCTAACATTCATATCAAAAGCCACCAGCCGTGTTCATTATAAAGTGGTATGCACTCAGGAGATCAATAGAAGGCCCTGCATTAGAAAGTGCTCCTGCTATTAAACGCTTTTGTAGATGCATTTAATCAACCCCATTACATAAAAGCCTCTTTGTTCAAAATTTGCATTAAAAAATCAACATGGAAGGACTATAGATGACAAATTTCATCTTTAACAAGTGCCCTTTCCAAAGAGGACAAGGAAAATTTGATTAAGAAAAACCCCAATCCTAACCAAAGACATTTCTCCTCCTAGATTTGAGCCGTGTTGCCCCCTGATGATGTGGATTTCATGCCTCATCTGGCTGAGAGAATTTACAGCTTCCTTGGTTGCACGCTGACTTCTACTGTTGAATACAAGGAGCTTCACTCTGCTCCTCCTGTTGTATGATGCCTTCTCGTTGTGGGGGAGCAGGTTATTCCTTTTCTAAGTGTTGACACCGCAGCATCGTCTTTGACCTTTTTGCCGCTAAAGCTTTTAACTTCCTGCCATTTAAAAGCCTGACCTCCAACTGTGATCTAAACGACGGCTGCGGCGGAGCTTTGAAATTCCCAGCATCCAGGAAGCACTATGGAACCAGAAATAAACTAAACATATAGTTATGAAAGCTCAATGTGTGACCTTCTCCATCAGAAAGTCAAAAAGAAAACTAGTTTAGAAGCTATATTGTAATCTCACAATTAAGTTACATGTAGTTACCACATTACAAAAGACAATATCCCATCATGATAAAGTACAAGGAGCTGTGGTTTGTATTCCTGTTTCCTGTTGTAATGCATTATATTTGACAGATAAGGCCCATTTGCATGCTCAAACGATTATGACAATAACCATCTGTTCTTTATGAGCTTGTTGTGGCCATCATTGAAAATAAGTAATCCTGTCATTTGCAGTAAGGAGTTGCATTACTTGCTTTACTATCTCAGATTCCAAATCCAAGCTGAGGCGACATATCAAAATCACTTTTTTTTATCCAGCCAATAGTTTGAGTACCAATTATTTTGAGTTTCATCTTTCGTCGAATAAAATGGAAAAAAGCAAGATAACTTGGTTGGCATTATTCTTTAGAAATGAAAGTGATAGTTTTTTTTATGGTCAACTGACAATCTCTTTAGATCAAGTTTACATTTTTCCTGTGAGTCATGGTCAAACTGATGATGCATCATTTTGGTCCCCAAAATTGTATCTCTTTGGCAAATGCTTTCCTGTTCTAAAGGTATGAAAGCGACCTAAACGTGTAGCAGACTTACTGTGACAGACAGAATCACTGGTTGGTGTGCATTCAGCCAGCTGTTTCTCCGTTTCCTCGTCACAGATGGTGCAGGGCAGGCAGGGATCGAGGTAGCTTTCCCGGTCAGAGTAGGTATCGTCCACACATTCCTCACACACTGTATCGTGGTTGTGTTCGCAGTGCGCAAACACACCCTGGCCTGCAGGGCACACCGTGCATGACTCGCATTGGCCCGATATCGAGCTGAAGAAGTAGTTGTAGTTGCAGATGCAGATGGCATCGTTGGAGTCGGTGCAAGGCGTCTCCATCCGCATCAGGCCGGTGCACTGCGTGCAGGGCGAGCACTGTTCTGTGTGACTGTAGTTCTCTGAGAAAGTTTCGCCTGCAGATGTGGGGACAGAAGAAGAGACACAAAAGTGAGAAGGAGGAAATGAGAGAAGGGGCAAAGAGCAAAGGAGGTTAGACGATGGAGAGAGCAGGAAATACGAGGAGATAAACAGAGGGATAAACAGTGCGTCTAATGACATTAATCATGTTTACTGCACATTCATTAGAAGGGAGGACACATTGATCCATTGGGCTCTTAGTGATTTGTGCTCCGGGAAAAGAAAGGTGCTCTTGTGTTGTGTTGGAGCGAGTCAAAAGCCTGCTGCGCTCATTATGATATCGATCTCAATGTGTCTGTGCTGCATGGAGTAAACTGCTTTAATCCCAGTCTTACAAGGAGGAAGTGCAGGTGCATCAGCATGGTAACACGGGTACAGAGATCATAAAAAATGGTGTTTACAAGTGATCAGGCAATTACTTGAGTGTACTTAAAGGCTTTACAGTGACTCCTAATTCATAGTTGATAAATATTTCAATATCATACTTGATGTGCAAGGATGGATTTATACAGGGTATTTTTTTTTTCTTAAAGACAGACAGAGCTACACCATTGACTTTATTAAACATGGACAAAGTCTCAGTGACTTAACACATTGGTGTCTCAAGAGGAGTTATGAAGCCCAGCAATGTTGGTTGCTATTTGAAATACTGACTCTACCTATGGGTCATTCACTCAAGTGGCAAGAACAGAGGTGGAGCTGAGGCAGACCTAAAGGTCCTGGCGAACAGCTACAAGTGCCTGCCTGTCAATCAAATCAGTCATGCCCAAATTCATGCAAATTAATGCATAACTCTTGCCTTGATATGATCCAAGCCGATGAGTATATAAAAAAAAAAAGCTCATCCCATCTTACATTTTTCACTAATTTAAAAAATGAGCAATAGAGATGAAAACCATTTTCTGAACCAGTCTGTAAATCTGTTAATTTCTTCTGTTAAAACAAGCATAAACTGCATTTTTTTTTTTTTTTACTTCATCACTGGCTTCATTTTTTAACTCCCAAGGTTGCTGCTTGAGCTAAGTTAACACCTAGCTCTTTCATTTTCCATAGGAAAAACCTGTCCTTATCTATTCAGTGTAAAGATGTATTAGCTTTCAGGCTATTTAAAAAAATATAACTAATTTGATTATAGATTGTTTGTTAGCCAGCCAGCTAATTTATGAGTTAGCTTAACTGGCTAACTCTTAAGCTAGCTGAGTAATCACCTTGTGCTTTTCAATTGCCTACTTCAGACACATCAAATTTGCTCTCCAGGAATGTTTGCATCAGGAGGATTCAACTAAGGTCCAAGGAGCCCAGAGTAATCTATTAATATTGCATGTTTATAGAGAATTATTTTCAGATAACTGGATGCTTGCTGAATTATGCATAATATAAGGGGGTGGCGCGTGTGTGTGTGTGATTGTGTGTCTTAGAATGTGTTTGGAGGAAGAGGCCGACAAGAAAGAAATAGAACTGTACAGTTATGGGTTCACCGCAGATTCACATTTCATCAAATCCCATTTTGCTTTTCTTGTAGCATGCCTACCATGAGAACCGTCAACTAGAAAGAGCTGCAGTTCAGACATAAACAACTCAATTTGTTTTACTCCTTGCTGCTTTCAACAAGAGCAAACAAGAGCAGTTTTACAAAGTGTAGCAGGAAGTTAGGCGGCCAGCATGAAAGAAACGGGATTATAAGACATGATTGTGCGATGAAACAGCACTGTTAAATAACACCAGCAAATGCTTCTTTCACAAAGTGAAGCATGCAGCAAGTCAATACTGGTTAAACCTCCTCTGTGATAAATCATTGGGACTGGGTGGAGTTGTAAAAAGTCGCATGACTGTGTGGATGTGTGGAACTCTTTGCGCAACTCTTATCTGCATTGGCATATGTCTGATAGTGAGTGTTTTTTAAGAGAGCTGCTTGGTGGATAATGTGTTGAGATACACCATATTGTGAGTGTGAAAAGCCCCACAGCAATGTCCCCAGCACTTGCTTTGCAACGTAAACGGCTTTGACAAACACTGGCACAGACTGAAGCCCTAAACACCTTGTAAACGGCAGGCGCAGCTAATGCCGTGGATGAAGGATGTCACATTATACAGGCAGCCTGAAGGGAGCAGAAGGAGGGAATGATACAGCGGTAGAGAGGAAGTAAGAAGATGGCATATGCTTTGCTTGGATTAGTCCTCTGACTGGATCGGAAACACAAACTTTGAGGGTGGTCTGCTGTAGAAAACATGAATGAGAGATCAAAGTGTTGAGGAAGTGCTGAGGTACAACTGACAGGGGAAAGGTCAGGGGTAGTCAGTGAGTTCAGTTTCCTTCTTGGATATGCACACACACAGTCAGACTCAATGTTATTCTTTTCTCAATCTGTCAACAACCCTTGCTCTTATTACTGTCTGGAGGCAGAAGCGAAAGAGGATGATGACACTGACTGAACTGACAAATAACAGACCTTAGACTTAAATGGTTATTTGAATTTGTGAGCAGAAAGCTCTTGTTTTTGGGTTTTTTTTGCAGTCAGGCTCAACCGGTAAATCTGTGCTCGTTCATTTCAATTATCTCGCGGCACACTGGCTTCCTCGCTAATTTCAACTCCCATGCATGAGCCCCTTTGCAGTCCTTGTGTGTAAACATGTCTAAATGTGACCATATGCACTGAGCACTCAACAGGAACGGGAGAGGAGTGTGTGTGTGTGTGTTAGAGGTTTGTGTGTGTGTGATTTATGTGTCAGCGCTTTCAACTTGGGGCTAAAAAAAGAAAGTAAAAGGTCATCAAGAATCAGGTGGAGAGTGTCTTCTTTAATAAATGATGACTCTTTCTCTAATTGTCCCCAATTGGGTGATGACCAGTGCATCCTAGCAATCACTTTCCATGATCAGCAGTAAAAAAAAAAAAAAAAAAAAGGCCATTGGTCAAAGAAGACATGTTTGTGCAAAGGAAAGATGATGCACTTAAAATGTGCCACCTCAGCCCCTTAAGACCCCCCTTTAAAACACTGATGTGTTTCGCCACCATTAGTGTCATCAATAATGTAGCTGTGGACGGCCTTGAAACTACCCCATGATCTCCACAATCAGCACTTCAGGTGTAAGCTTTTAGGAAGGGATGGCCATCACTCCCACTCCATGTAGTGCCACGTTCTAGGTTTCAGCTGGAACACCATTGTTGTCATTGCACTATGCTGACGGTGTATAAAGAATCAACATTTGGAAAGCTGATCACGGTTTTATTTGCCTTTTTAAACATGCAACATTTTTGTGTGCAATTATCGCCCTGCCTCATTGGTCCACTTAACTTCCTGGCTGATTTGAAACAGGTGTGTTAGGATATAACCAAAGCTATTATTAGGAGACCAAAGGAGCAAAGCTGTTCTTGTATCCTTGTGCTGAACTTCTGGTTGTCTGCCATTGCCACTGAAGACCTGCCAGGGTAAAATCTCCATTTCTCCTTTTACATCCCTCATGATCCAACGTTGGAAGCGATTCTTGACACTGTTTCAGTCCTCGTCAAACGAGGCTGTGATTCTACTTTCCATCCTCTTTTAAATCCCCAGTGACTCGCAATCCAGTCTAATGGTACTCCTCTTAAACGCTGCATTGTCCGGCTTTTACTCTTTGATCTTCAATCATTTTTTTGGGGGGGAGAGCTTTTTTTCTGGATGGTTCCCTAAGTGAGGCAGGTCTGGTTGTCTTGTCTCCCATGACAGCAGGGAAAAGAGGAGGAGACTGATAAATATTTCAGCACTGCTGATGCTGGCACTCGTCCCAAGCAAGGATTGTGGTGATGGGGGGGTTACACTCACCGGAAGTGGTGACTAAGGGGGGTCTTAAATAAAGATTCAACCATATTCACCATGAAACAGGAAATGGATGTGTTGAATCCCACTATTTAATTATTGATTTCTGCACTTTAGAAAATGTATTTATATGTGTTAGTTTTTCAGGTAAGGTCAGAGTTTCAGCCGCTCACTTCCACATATATCCAACTAAGACCTTTTTTTTTGTGTGTGTATTTGCTCCTCAGGTCCCCAGGTACATTAAGATTTTATCTGCTGAAACAAAGACAATATTGAAACCATTGAAAATACATTCACGTTGGTAAATTCAATGCAACCTCCCGGGTATTTGAGCTTAATTGTTGAGTGTTTATCAGTGGTGAATACCGTTCCTGTACAGCCGAGCAGGATAATTGTTCACTGTTAGACACACAATAGGCTTTTCAATATGGTTTAATTAGCTGGATCAAATGAGTAAAGATGCACTGATGTAACAGAATGCGTGATGAATGAGCAGATAGTGCCCTTTGGTGCCTGGCTCTCTAATACCATTTTATCCGCTAATACAGACGATGAGTCATAGGAATAGGGAGGGGGGAGGAGGGAGAAAAGGGGTTCAGGGGAATCTGGCTGACAGGAGCGAGTACAGGAGAAGAAGAAAAGAGGAGACACGACAAGAGTTGGATGGATTTGTCGGTGTGGATGGGTGCGGGGATCGGAGGGTGAATGAAGAAAATACTCATCAGAAGTGCAGTCATGAGAAACATTACAGAGAAATGGAGCCGCAGGGTTACCTTCTGCACATCACCTGCCACTGTTTACAGCACAAATACGACAAAACAAAGTGCTTATGACTTCAAGCCAAATATAAAGTCTAGACGATTGTGAAGCTGTAACGAGTTTCTCCTGGCGCCTTAATATCAACCAATTTCCTGCAGCACACAATCATAAGTAATGTTCAAGGATGAGTATTAATTGCTCTACTCACTCTGCAGCTGTTGGTGTGATTGGATTTTTAACAACTCCAAGGCAAAACTATCAGAAGTCCTCTTTGATTTCTCGCTTACTTTTACACCTGGACCTGCTTTGATCAATTTCACACCCTTAAGTTTCCGTTCCAACATGAACTTTGTTCAACAGAGTTGGTCTATGTGAAATTGGCCTCGCAGTTTTTTATTTTTTTTGTTTTGTACCCTGTGGCACAGTCTCACTCTAGATGTAGCGAATTGGCTCCCTGCCCCTGTGCCCCGTTGCTGCAGCTCTAAAGTTCCCAGAGGCAAAGAGTAAAAAAAACTTCAAAGGGGTGAAATCATCCAGTCTTTAGATTCTTAACAACGTAACACAACACAAAGATTAACATCTGTTTCGCAAAGACGTTCAGTGACAATCACAGTATCAGTTGTCTTTGTGCAAACAGAATTCCTGCCAGCCTTTTCCAGGCTGTTTAATAGGTTACCACAAAATACGGTTAAGTTGATTATTGTTGCCTTTACTTGACGCAAGAGAGGGTTGTTGTCTTTGTTGATATGTGATATTTGTCTATGAATAAACGTTCTGCTAGGTGTCAGTCAAAATTTCAAACTGGACCTGTGAACTTAAAGGTCAAGGAAAGGTACCACTGCAGATTGTGATCCAGTTGTCTTGTCCCTCCTGACCTATGCAGCCATGATTGTGACCCACACTTTGACGTTTACTTAGAAATCTGACATAACACCAAGATCTTAAAGGGCAAGGAGAGCTGCAGGAACAGGTCACCAAAAATACCATGGGATTAAGCAGAGCACTATTGTTTGGAACATTTGCTCTTCTTCTTCTTCTTCTTCTTCTTCTCCTTTTTTTTTTTCGGGATGTTGCAGTGTTGGCACCTCTCCCAGCTCGGGTCTATAGAGTGAGTGCTAATGGTTCGCAGCCTGAGCAGAGCTGTAAGCGAACACATTTGGACCCACTTACAAGCATCAAACATATGAATTCCTGCTTTATTTCTCCAGACACTTTATAAAGGCAAAGTAGACACTTCATACAAATTGGATAATAAGATTGTATTTTGGTGTCAGTATTCTTTTTGTGTTCAGAATTCAGAGCCAAGTGACCACTAGTAAGCAAACAAAATGGAGTGGATGTGTAAAAAGAGAAGATCCAAATGCCGAAAGTTACATGAGTATACAAGTGTGTGTGTGTGTGTGTGTGTGTGTATAGTGTGTGTAATTCTGCTGGTGACTAGTAGTTTTGCATCTGTGCATCATTGCACATACTGTATTTGATCGTCTCCACATTGAATGTAATCCAGTTAAATTCAACACATTTTAGGAAACAGAGTTCCTGCAAAGTCAGGATTCAGCAATTTAGAGTTAAAAGTTCCTTTTTGAATCTGTTTCAGCTTACTTCACCCAAATCAATTAAATAGAAAACAGATTGTCAGACAGATTGTGGGGCAGATTTCATTTGAACCACATTTTTACCAAAGTCAAAAAAATTGCTTGCAGGGAGGTTTGTGGACAACGTTTGTGGAAAGACATGTCGCTGACGCGTTTTCACAAACGTTGAACACCACCAACGAGGAGGGCCGCAAAACCTTCAAAATAAAATGCCTCAAAAAAGCTCAAAGCATGGAAGTGGCAAATGTTGGTACCAAAGAAGACTTATTGTGTTTTTGAAACCACTACTTTGGGCTTCCTCCCAAAAGCCATTGTTGTATTATAACAATGTGAATTAAATAACACCCAAATTATAACAAAATACCACTATTAATATTAGAGCTCAGATACAAGCAGTTATTTAAAAAAATACTTTACCTGAATAAATGTAAGACAACTGATGCATTAATCTCCAAGGGAGGGCATCATTTCTCACAGGTGGACTGGGATGTACATCTTAGTTACTTGAGCTTGATGTTAACACATAATAGCAAGTTCCATTAACGTGCTAACAGAAATAAATGTCATTCTATTTTAATTTAATTGTTGAGTGTTTATCACAGTCAATCCCATTTACAGCAGAGCAGCATAATGGTTCACTGAAGGATCATAAACTATTTAGTTGAAAGCCCTGTGTTTTTTTTCTGTAGAATATATAAACTTGATGTGATCAGTTCAGTGTATTAGATGCAAACCATGACAAATGTGTACTCACTGTCCAAACACTGGGCGCAGACCGTCTGCGTAGCGCCGCATTTCTTCACCACTCCCTCTCCAGGTGGACACTGCTCGCAGCATTCCCCACCGGCCGTGTACTGGCCACTGTCACAGGGCTGCAGAAGCACAGCCCGTTCCGTCTTAGATGCCAACACTAACGCCACCTGGCACAGCGGGGGACAGAGGCACAGTACTTTAGAGGCGCACATGCAAACACTCACAGGCAGAGCAAACTTTCACAAAAACACACACAAGGCACAGGGCCACAAAGACTTAAACCTGCACGGCAAAACAAATTGATGGAAAATGACTTCCAGGTGCAGAACCTGTTCCTTCAATCCAACCGCCATCAGCATTCATCATAAATCATGTTGTCTCCACCTTTATCTAAACTGTCTAAACTGCCCTATTAGCTGCCCCGAAGGCACATCAGCTCTAATAGTAAACTTATGACACGCTCCAGCCGAGGCAGTTACCATAAAATCATGTGCTCACGACATTATACACATGCCTGTCCTAATTACTGTCTTAAAGTGGGGATGGCTGTGAACCTCTGCTTCTAATCGTTGGTTTACACACACACACGCTTGTTTTTCTAGGTTTTTGAGGACCGTAACTCAAAATGCTAAAAGAAAATCGACATCTCCCTAGAAACCACTGCAAAGGCAGGTAAAAATGATGAACCTTGTAAAAAAAAAAAAAAAAAGCATCACAGTAACTCAGTCGCATTTGTTCCTTGGGGGGGGGGGGGAGACACTCCAACCTTAAACAAACACATTTGGTCAAACTTGTAAACTTGAATAGTTACTTCATGGGGACTTGCTGTTTTTTTTTTTTTTTTTACAGTACTACGGGGACCCAGATGGGACATGGGTACCCGCAATTTTTTCAACTACAAAAACACTTTTTTTCCAACTCAGCGGAAGTCATAAAGTAATGTTTTCATCTTTTAGATAAAAAAGACTCTTCCACAGCTCCATCCTAATTAGCATTTCAATACACGTTTTATCACCCCAAAATACCTGCAGACTGTAAATACAATTGCAATTGCTGTTTGTTTCTCTTTCATCCTGACATTAAAGTATTGTTATACCTGATTTAGTTTCTTGCATTCACATTTTACATCCTTTCAAATTCTCTTATCTCCACTAATAACCTTCTTCCTCTCCCTCTTTCCTGTTTGCATTTTCTCGGCTCATTCTGATATAAAAATCATGCAACAGAACTGAGACCACTTGTGTTTTACAGCAGTGTAGAAAGAAAAAAGGAAAAAGAATTCAAACCCGCAAACTGCATAGAACAAAGAAAATCATCATACTGGAACACACTATGTCCTGTGGCTCTTATTATGTAACCGACAAAAGCTCATTTCCACTTACATTTGCTGAAACATCAGTTCAATCTTTTCTATCGTTCTCATTCATCCCTCCCTTGCTCCTCTCCACCCCTCCTTCCCTCTCTGTGCTGTCGCTGCTTTCATTCAGAAACAGATGTAGAGTGCAGCCAGCAGCTCTCCCTCTCTCTCTCTGCCTCTTGTTCTCGCTCCTCATTTTCAATATTGCCCCTATTTCTCCTGCTTCACATGTTACGCTCAAGGCTTAGTCTTGTCATGATTGCTGACAAAAACCTCAAGTTTTATTCAAGCATTTCATCAGAGCTAAAGTCTCCTTTTCATCTGCAAAAATGAACTTCTGAAGCAGCCCAAAACCTCAAAGGGGTTCCCTCTTGTATCTGCGAGGGAAGGATTCATGTCCCTGACTACTGCGTCTACTCCCTTTCCTGTGACATCTCCCTGGAATTTCACTCAGCGCAAACAGATGAATGGCAAATTCAGCAGGAAAAAGGGTTCAACATGCATATACACTCACAAAAAAAACATACAGTGACCCAGCTGTGATATGCTTGGTTCACCCTCTTCCCAATTTCATGGCCAATTTGTGAGTTTATTTCTAAATGTAATTCCACCAAAGAGCACCTGACCACTGCCACCCTTCAAAAACAGCTGTCATAACAGAGTGTCCCCTCTCTCCGAGGCTGTTCACATGATGACTGAGTGCTGCACAGCCCCATTAGACCAGCTGCTGTGGACATACCAGAGTACCAAGAGGATTTGCACTCAGCTCTGTGCCTTATCGTACTCTGTCCTCTGTTATCATCTTTTTTTTCACATTTTCAGATGATCCTCATTGTCAAAATAAAGCCAGGCTCATTTTTGATAAGAATTGAATGAATCAATTTACTTTTAATAAGCTGCGGCGTCTTTATCGCTCATCTTTTGGACTCAACAAATTAAAATGCATAGCTTAAAGTCATTAAAGTGTTTGGCCAAGTTTTCTGCTAGCAGACCTTTTCTGGATTACTGGATGCAGCCCAATAGATCTCAATTTTCCAGATGCAAGGAGCAGGGCTGTGTTACTTGTTCTTTCTGGTTGAAACCCACAAGGGAGGTGTGTTTGTACAGTATGCACACATAGGTAAAGCTTAAGGTGGATTTAAAAAAAACATGTGAAATATCTATTGCATCTATTGCAAGTCTGTAGTTGAGGTTAAGCCACGGCTGCAAAAATAAATGGCATATTAGTCCTTTAATATTACAATTTTTAGTGGGAAACACTACGGCACTTATAGCCTACTGCGCAGTTTGACGACGTTTATGATATCGTGGAAATATCACATACATCACTAAAGGGTTAAAAATGAATGTTAGGGAATTTAAATCAGGAAAAACTTCCTACAAAAGTTCCAGCTGGATTTCTAACTTATCAGTATCCTACATAAAACAAGGCACAGCAAACACATTTTTAAGGAAAATAATATCACAAAGTGCATGGCATATTTCAAAACTGCAGTTTCAACAGAGTGATAAAGCTGTGTATATCACGGCATACGCGCATGAGTTACTGTACAGATTACTCACCAGAGCGCACAAAACCACCAGCGATAATGTAGTAGTCATCCTGCGTCGCCTACTGGAGTCTCATAAAATCAGATCTTGTGCAGAGAAAGCAGCAGCTATGTGGAGGAGGCAGAGCAGCAGGAGGAGGAGGAGGAGGTGGAGGTGGAGGAGAGCCGCGCAGCAGGAGTGCTCATTTTAATCCCAGTGGCGTTTGGATTTTTATCAATGAGTCCTCACCGTCACGCGTCCGTTCGTACAGGACCCCCACACCGGAGTGAGATGCGACTGAAGGTGCACCCCTCAGCAGCACCACACATAGATAGCAAAAAAAAAAAAAAAAGAGGAATAAGAAGAGGAGGCAGAAGAGGAGGGGGGAGGAGACCGTCCTGTCCGGAGTGCTGCTCAGCTGCAAGTGCACTGCGGAGGAGGCGAGAGGAGAGGAGAGGAGAGAGAGGGGGGCACGTCCACCCTCCTGTTTATTAGCCCTGATACTCCTGCAGTAAGACTATACAACCTGCTCCTCTCTCTCTCCTAACACACACACACACACACACACACACACACACACACACACACACACACACACACACACACACACACACATTGCTTTAATCTCACGTGAGGTCTGATGCAATCCAAAAGGGTGACATTAAAATAATTTACGCTCATTGCAAACAGTAATGTCTGACACATGGAGCAGCATTACACTCTCTTCAAATCTATATTATAACAATGTGGCCAAAAGTATGCAGACACTCTAATTTGTGCAGCTGTTTATCAAGTGTGTCCCACTTGTGGGAAATGTCACTGCAGCATCAGTGTGTGCATTACATTTTTGTGGCAATTGTTTGGGGAACACCCTTCCCCTTGAAATGCCTTATCACACTCCTGAAGTTCACTGAGTGAAGTTACTCCAGCAGATTAATGCATCCACGTTTTAAAATGACATGTCAGCGTCCACATATTTTTCAGTTGTTTCAATTCAGTGAACTCTATTTCCCACTTGTTGCCACAATGTGCATGTCTTCCTTTTAATCTTATTTGTTATTGCTGTTGACACCGTGCCAAACACTGCGCTTAATCAAGTTTATGGTGTTGTCAAGCTGCTTTGCATTTTCTTCACATGTGTTTCTGATAGTCTTTTCTTTTCCACATTATGTAAATGAGGCAGGAAGCAAGTTATTATTAGAAACACCTTTGTATAAAATGCAAGATAACACAAAGCACAAAGCACAGCCTCAAAACTTGTCCTAAGAATTGGGCCGCCACACCAAACAGGAAACGAAACCTCAGTGACTTTGAGTGTGACAGGTGTTTCCTTGTTTACTTTTCTGTTTTACATAATTACTGATGAATGTTTTGCACTGAAACTAATTCAATATTTGGACCTTGCGACTCTATGTCGTGGAAACAAATGCCTCTGCATTTTAAGAAATGATTAAGCCGTATCGAATTGCAAACACATCCCCTTCAATGACTGATCAGGTATCATCCTGTAGTATCATCATGTACCACAAGAGGGCACCTCAGCTGAGCTCAGGTCAGCAGCAGCAGCAGCAGTTCATAATCACATTTTGTGTGATGATCTTGAGCTTAACTATGAAGGATGGGGTTGTTTCACCCCGAAGAGCAGTCACTTCACTGAGGGAAGGCTTCATTTTTCACTCATGTCTGGTTTCACATGTGAGTTTATCATTTCACTACACAATTGAGTGTGGTTTTTTTCAGTGGCCTCCAGTAAAACGAATAATTTTTATGGTCCTCTATACATACTTGTAAAAGCATGTGTGTGTGTGTGGTGCTTTAAATAAAGAAATATAAAAGTTTTCCTGTTTTTTCTCCACTTTATTTTGATATTCGATAATGTTTTTTATGATACCAAATGATATGCCCCTTTTTAAAGGTGCATACAGTCCTGTAGTCCTCATTAGAGGAGCTTTACTAAATCTGAAATGTATTCTTATCTTAGTTAAAGATGGAATTTAGGTTATTTTGGTCTTAAAAAAGCATGTTTTGTCACTGAATAGCCTCAGCTATATATTTACGGTTTTGTTTCTGCAAGGGGAAGAAGATCAATTTATCTTCACAAAGCAGAACCATTTTCATTAAATGTCATTCTAAGGGTGGTTGTCATACTGCTGTGTTCCAGTTTATAAGTTGTATAAATTTAGGGCAAGCTATCTGATGGATGAATATTATTTCACTGCTTCTTGATTGTTCATCTGAAAACAGATCTGAAATCTGAAAAACAGAAATCGTGTCCAAATTTCAAGTTTAAAAAAAAAAAAACATTTGTAACCGTCAGGCAACAGGTCATGTTAGCATTTAGCCAATTACTACTAAACGCTTATATCATGTTTATCAAATAGTTTAATAGTATCAAAAAGTTTTATTTTGAATTATGGCCTGATGTCTCTTCTCATTTTCGCTATCATTTGATATTTCATTTACCTATTCATTTATCAGAAGACGATCAAATCTGTTTTCCAGGATATGGCCGCTGTATGAATAAGGTAAATGAAGCTACTTTTGAACTTGTCGAGGTTTTAAACACAGGAATCCATTAAGCGCTGCCTTTTTGCGTAACAGATATTTCTATTTTGTCAAGATGACACAAAATTTGCTTCAACCACTCCAAAACCACTAATGCACGTCTCAGCATTGTAATTGTGTTTCATGCTCATTGAGGTACTTAAGCAGAACCAGTGATGATGGCTATTGATCCAAAAGATGTGACTGTGAAGCAGCTGCAGTCACCCAAAAAAAAGACGGTCAGCTTTTATCCGTGTCCATCCTCCTGACCCCTCTGCTGCCTTCACCAGGACCACCACCTTTACCAGCAGCTCACTGGACAGAGACGGATGCCCCTGAAGAAGAAGCAGCAGCACCGACGAGGTGATTTAGTTTCACTGTTGAGATCCGAATGCTCTCCAGTATTGATCTTGGGACACATCAATTCTCCCACTTCCTACATCCTCCTTTGAGATCACCCCTGCAGCGCCTCTGAATAACCCTCTTTCTGATGACTCTGACAGCACTTTTCTCTATCAATACTTTTCATAGTGTTCACATGTCAGCTCCTTTGAATTCAGTACTCAGTGCTCTTAATCACCTGAGCGTGTTTAAGGAAGTGTATCACGCTGTGTGTGTCTTGGAGGTCAATAATGGATGAGTTAGGCTAAAATAAATGCTAATGTTCATATCACTGTTTAACAAACACTCTCCAGTAATGTTGATATTGTTTGACTGCATCGACAATGTAACAAAGATGTTGTACAACTCAAGACTGAAATGTATCCGCCAGCAGCCAGAAATAGAAAAATGTCCTCTGAATGTGAGCTCGATTAGATAGTGTTATGGATATATGGATATGTGCTGACAGGGCCTTTGCGATGATACATGTATTTTTCTCTGTATGTATCATATTTCTGGCCATATGATTGGTCAGCAAAAGGGAAATGTCATGTCAGCCTGCAAGGTCACTAATAAAATACAGTCTTGACAAAGACAACCTACTGCTCAGTGAAAGTTATAACGGGGAGCAACCCGAGGAAAGCACATAAAAATCCCTCGTACTGCTTTAATTCATGACTATGTGGAATGGAAGTGGCAGTAAAAAAAAAAAATAAGAGAGACATTTTTGATTGTGTTGATTTTGTTGGGTACATTGGTACATCTTAAAAGTGTTTTCTCTGGAAGACGTCTTCAAGATTTTCTTAGTTCTGTGTCCATATGTTTTGCAGGCTCCAACATTTCCTCACTCGACCAAATAGTGAAATCCTTTAATCAACATTCAGTTTTACATTTTACTCTCTGTTGTGGCTTCAAATCTTCACAATTGTACGAAAAAAATATCAATGGTTGCATGCTTTTACTCACTAAAATTCCCACAATTTATTACAATGTGCCCCAGTTTAGACTTGATGATGTGTGACGTCATAAAGTCTGTCCTTTTTTAAAATCCAGTCTCCTTGTTACAGTAATAGTTCAAGTTACACATGTTGTACTCTCCTGAGCATTTGTTAATCAAAGACAGTGTTTTGTTAGATGTTGAAATGCCTGCAGATAAGTCTGCAGTACGAGTAATTCAACAGACACGTTGTTTTGGCTGCGTACCGCTGCCAATGGATTCAAAATGAAACAAAGAATGGGGTTAAAGTAATGACTTTCAGCTTTAGGGGTCTTTGAAGTTCCTCACATCCATCTTGGATCAACAGAGGAATTTGAACCCTATATAAATATATTACCTCTCATTTTTACCAACACATATTATTCCTCCAATTTAAGTGCAGACAGCATCAAATTGATGTCATAAATGAAGGGTTCAATCACTGTCATTGTTCATTTTGGTTGCTGTGTGTGAAGAACATGGCCAAAACAACTAAATATGCCAATAAGCTGTACATAGATTGCACTGTTATTTAGTAGATCCTCCATGATGTGTTGCAGGTAATGATCCTGATATTAATTTGGACTGGATTTATCTGGTCTAGTCCAACTCGAGAATGAAAGATTATAACTGATCCATATAATCAGTTACGTTCTGGCTGGTGGTCAAATCTTGATGGTAGGAATTAAATAAATATCATCCAGGTTGGGACCCAAAGAAAACAGGGGGACTGTATTTCTTCTCTTTGATGCACATAAAATACAGATGCTGTTCTGTTTAGATGAAGATCAGTTCAGTCAAGACAAGAGGAATCTCCTGCTGCAGTTCAACGACAGTGTGAACCAGGTATGGAGTTACAACAGGGCTGTGATTTCTTATCTTTGTGCTGCTTAGGTGACATATTGGGGCTGATATAAGGGTCGGACGTCCACTGTGTACACTCATGGCCCAGCGTGAGGTTGCGAGGGAACTCTGGTGGAGTCGAGAGGGTGGACACCACATGTTTTGAACAGTCTGCCAAGTAGGGGATAGGACATCACCTGTGCCTGGTTACACATCTGAAAACAAGAATTATAGATCCAGTTGGAAACAGAGGAGGAGTTGCACTCACCCTGCACAAATCGCTTGCAAACATAAACCGCAAAAAGTAGACGCTGAAAGCTGGAGCGGAGACAGAGCTGCGTGGGGGGAACGTGCACTTTTCTCCTGGCAGGCCGTCTTTACGCTGTCATATTCATGGTCGGGGGATTTTGCTCCTCTTGGTTAACTTTAACTCTGAAAGATTGCCCACGTCCAGAACGTTAAGCTCAAAAATCTGAGGTTCAAAGGGAGGAATAAAAATTGATATTCAAGCGGCTGATCCCTTCATATTCATTTTAAATGGCCTTGTTACAGCATTATTACACTAGTCAGATAGTGTTTCTAGCTAAAGTATCCCCTTGTATTACTCATATTTATGTAAAACAGATACAGTAGGCCATTTGAGAATTCTCTCCATCAGAATCCCAGGGTTATTTTGGATCCTACAGTGGATCAAGCTGCGATCAGTGGTTTGGAATATGCTGCCAAAAGCGATGGCTTCTTCTTCAAACAACATTGCCTGTTGATATGTTTATAAAAAAAAAAACTTCCGCTGGCACTTTCACAC